TACTTTACTTCGTGTGATCCCCACCATGACATTTATACATTTTCTTACTGGCAAATCTTCTGGCATTCTATCTGACATATCTTCTGACCTTCTATTTGGCATTCTATCTGGCATATCTTCTGGCATATGATCTGGCATATCTTCTGGCATATCTTCTGGCATTCTATCTGGCAAATCTTCTGGCATTCTATCTTGCATATCTTCTGGCACTCTATCTGACATATCTTCTGGCATTCAATCTGGCATTCTATCTGGCATATCTTCTGGCATATATTCTGACATATCTTCTGGCATTCTATCTGACATATCTTCTGGCATATATTCTGACATATCTTCGGGCATATCTTCTGGCATATCTTCTGGCATATCTTCTGGCATATCTTCTGGCATATCTATCTGGCATATCTTCTGGCATATTTTCTGGCATTCTATCTGGCAAATCTTCTGGCATTCTATCTGGCATTCTATCTGGCATATCTTCTGACATATTATCTGGCATTCTATCTGGCATATCTTCTGGCATATATTCTGACATATTTTCTGGCATTCTATCTGGCATTCTATTTGGCATTCTATCTGGCATATCTTCTGGCATATCTTCTGACATTCTTTCTGACATTCTTTCTAACTTTCTTCTGCACATTCTTTGTCCCATATCTTCCTACATGAGGTCCGGCAGGGAACACTTGGCGTGGATACTCGCGGTTGAGGTCCGGCAGGGAACACTGGCCGTGGATGGTCGTGGTTGAGGTCCGGCAGGGAACACTGGGCGTGGATGGTCGTGGTTGAGGTCCGGCAGGGAACACTGGGCGGGGATGGTCGTGGTTGAGGTCCGGCAGGGAACACTGAGCGTGGATGGTCGTGGTTGAGGTCCGGCAGGGCACACTGGGCGTGGATGGTCGTGGTTGAGGTCCGGCAGGGAACACTGGGCGTGGATGGTCGTGGTTGAGGTCCGACAGAGAACACTGTGGATCGCGAGTCGCAGTTGAGCAGGAGGACGAGGAGGACAACGAGAGGAGGAGGACAACGAGAGGAGGAGGACAACGAGAGGAGGAGGAGAGGAGAGGAGGAGGAGGAGGAGGAAGAGGACCAGGCAACTGACATAAAATCTAACAACCCTCACCTGGCAGGTGGGGAATAAATAATAAATAAATAAATATATAAATGTATATACTATATATATATATATATACTACACCCAATCTTCAGACACACCGATATACCTGGATGTGCCAAACGCGATTGTGTTTTTCCCCACCTGCCAGGTGAGGGTTGTTAGATTTTATGTCAGTTGCCTCCTCCTTCTCCTCCTCCTCCTGCTCCTCCTCCTCCTCCTCCGCCTCCTCCTGCCTCGTCCTCCTCTCCTCCTCCTCCTCGTCCTCCTTGTCATCCTTGTCGTCCTCTCGTTGTCCTCGTCGTCCTCGTTGTCCTCCTCGTCCTTGCTCAACTGCGACTCGCGATCCACAGTGTTCGCTGCCGGACCTCAACCACGACCATCCACACCCAGTGTTCCCTGACCTCAACCACGACCATCCACGCCCAATGTTCCCTGCCGGACCTCAACCACGACCATCCTCGCCCAGTGTTCCCTGCCGGACCTCAACCACGACCATCCTCGCCCAGTGTTCCCTGCCGGACCTCAACCGCGAGTATCCACGCCAAGTGTTCCCTGCCGGACCTCATGTAGGAAGATATGGGACAAAGAATGTGCAGAAGAAAGTTCGAAAGAATGTCAGAAAGAATGTCAGAAGATATGCCAGAAGATATGCCAGATAGAATGCCAAATAGAATGCCAGATAGAATGCCAGAAGATATGTCAGAATATATGCCAGAAGATATGCTAGATAGAATGCCAGATAGAATGCCAGAAGATATGCCAGATAGAATGCCAGAAGATTTGCCAGATAGAATGCCAGATAGAATGCCAGCAAAGATTTTGACAGATAGGGAATGCAGGAAAAATATTTGGGGCTAGAAGAATTTGGCCAAGATAGATATGTAGAAAGAATTGCCAGAAGATATTGCAGGAAGATATGGCCAGAAGATATGTTCAGAAATTTTTTATGCCAGATAGAATGCCAGATTGAATGCCAGAAGATATGTCAGATAAAGTGCCAGAAGATATGCCAGATAGAATGCCAGATTGAATGCCAGAAGATATGTCAGATAAAGTGCCAGAAGATATGCCAGATAGAATGCCAGAAGATTTGCCAGATAGAATGCCAGAAGATATGCCAGAAGATATGCCAGATCATATGCCAGAAGATATGCCAGATAGAATGTCAAATAGAATGTCAAATAGAATGTCAGAAGATATGTCAGATAGAATGCCAGAAGATTTGCCAGTAAGAAAATGTATAAATGTCATGGTGGGGATCACACGAAGTAAAGTAATTTCTCATTGGCTATTCAGTCAGAATGTGGGAATCTACTGCTAATCATATATTGCTTGTGCCCCCCTGGATCACAAATCCAAGTACAGCCTATATATATTCCCAAATAGTGTTGGTTATGCAAACCATATCAAATCAAAACATGGTAGAGTTCACACATATATATATATGTTTATGTATATATATATATATGTATACATATATATATATATAGTTTCTATATCAACATACACATATGTATATATAAATAACAATAATACCTATATATAATATATATTATAATAGTCATAATAATAATAATAGTAATAATAATAGTAATAGTAATAATAATATATATATATATGCCATGGTCGAACCTTGTTTTGTACTCCCACTTGGGGATGGTCGTCAATCCACAGGGTGAACAAAAACAAATGCGACCTTTGGATTCCCATATCTGTGTGTTGACCATGCAACATATTAGTGTTCCATATCGCGGTATCGTGATACTGCCATGTTCAACATATATTAATGTCGTTTATTTAACATATATTTAATTATACAAATATCTTTACAACTATAAATAAGGATATGCATATATGTGATATAAACTCATATCAACATGATATCAGTATGATATTCCCATGGTCATAGCTTTCCAAGTCCTTCAGCGTTGAAGGTGCTGTGTGGAGTCGATTGACATCCCTGCGCCTTGGATTGATATCAGGCGCCATGCTGGTTGCATCTGCTGGGGGATGGTTTATACATGCTACAAACCATCCTGGTTGATAATTTGGTTTGATAATTTGTCTATCAAAAAATGTTGACGTTCATTGGAATTCCATAGCTATGCCAAATTACCAGAGGGTAGATCGGTAAATCATTTTAAATCCCTGGTTGGTGGTTTCAAACATGGCTTTTATTGTCCATAATATATGGGAAGAATCATCCCAACTGACGAACTCATATTTTTCAGAGGGGTAAGTATACCACCAACCAGCATCTATGGATCTATGGTAAGTCATTGGGGATGGTTTATAGATGTGAAAATTGCTATTGCTATTGGTGAAACCACATGATTCTGGACTTGAACTTACATCATTAACTTATTGACATTGCCATAACTTGCTGGATCTGTGCGAGTTTGGGGACAAAAAAACATGTGGAGAATCAGCTGTGGAAAACTCAGTGCGGATTTGTCCGTGTTTTCCTTCGAGCCGCTTTTCTTTGTATGTTCTGTATTTGTCAAAATTAAGACATTTGAAGACCCAGGGGACCGCAGATTTGAGTCTATATGTATAATTATGTTTATAGTAATAACATGTATTAACCATCTACCCAATTTTGACTCATTCCGCCTGTGTTCACACTATAGACATCCGTGCATTGTTTTCATCTTGTTCCTGGATTTGTTCCATTCATCCCACGGATACTGAGGCACCAGTGCCGCAGCACCCTGAATCTCTGTGCGGCCCGCCGTCGTCCCGGACGCCACCTGGTGGTGGGCGAAGTCATGTGTCTCGGCCGTAACAAGGGTGGTGTGGGAGATGCCATAGCTGCCACCATCCCCGCATCCATTAAGTCCTTGGTGAATTCCGGAATTTACCGTTTGAGCCGGAAAATCTTGGTGAGATTTTGAGAAGTCCTCATTTGTCAAACAGTTTCCACACTATTAGCATGCGTTGAATCATGCTCCATCCACTTCAACCTTTTTTTCCGGTGAAATCCTTGTGAAATCCACATGTTGATTCCCCCTTTTTCCAATTGTTCATATTCTTCCTAGCTTAAATTCCAATGTTTCCTCCTCCAGTTTTTTCAAGGTCCACCCCCGAAGGTTTCCATTTCACTATAGTGACATCCCCGTGTTTTCACTCTTTGTTTTCCTGATGTTCCAGTTTTTTCTGTGAAACCCATAGATGACCAAGGTCATTTCCATCATTTTCCCCACATTTTCCCCACATTTTCCCAGACTGAAGCCCACCTTTTTCCCAGCTCCCGTCCTCCAGGGCCTTCCATCCCGGGATCCCCGGGGTGTCGACGTGAGGTTCCACGTGGAGGACCTGAACTTGCCGATGCAGCGGGAGCCCCACGAGGTGCTGCGCGCCTTCGTGGATACCGAGAAAGCCTCGGTCAACGGGGCGAGTGAGGACCGGTTCGGTGAACAAAAACATACAACAAAAACCAATGGACAAAATGGGTTGAATATTGTTAGTTGTAATATGTTGTACTGTTACTGTATGATTTTAAGCCCATTAGTTATATAATTCCAAAGGGGGTAGAACTCATGGGATTGTATAAGTAATGCGATTAAGTAATGGGACTACCTCTGGGGGACTACCTCATGGCTGAACTATGAGATTAGCTAATGGGAGTAATTTACATCATTTTTGGGGGAGTTGATCGCGCCATAAATGAATGAGATACTTAATGGGATTTTACGGGATTTAATGGGATCTAGGTGAGCCATAAATGGGGGTTTAACATGGTTTAACCATGCTGAACCACCAATAAATCGTGAAACTTTTGGAGACTATATTGGACAAATGATGGTTTTAGGCGGTTGCTCCATCAAAGCTAGGAATTTGTCAAGATCTCAGCAGTTTATTATCAGTATGGTGCCTCACTAAGCCACCGAAATAGGACTGCATCACCCAGCAATCCATGATCGCAATAGTTTTTAATTCAAACAGTGGAACCAGCTCTCAATCAAGTTTTTGGCGCTGCCCGGGAAATCATGTAACTTGTGATTGAAAAATGATTGCTGTTCTTCTTTTGTGTTCAAAAATAACTGTTCATGACATGTATCTTGCCATGTCTTTCCTCCATTTTTTCGATGGAGGTGTGATTGTGATCAACGTATAAAACATAAGCATATCAGCCACTTAATCAGGACCAGAGGTGAGGGTGTCGTCAATGCCGTTCTTGATAAACCGTCTTAAGCCGACTGGTAGATCAGGGATTTATTATGATTTATCCAGCAAACATTTGGGAGTTCATTGTAGCTTATCTTGGTGGTTCAAAGCCTTGGGTAAGGTTCACTATGTTTAAATTTTAAATATGATCAGTGACTTAGTCATTGAAGGTTCCCATGAAGTGGACCAACCCTATCCCACTTTAACGAGGCTGAGGCACTCCGCGACTCTCCACAGCTGTGCTAGGAGCTCGCCATTCCAAGCGCCCAAGGTGCAGTCGGGACGGCTCCCAAGATGGCAGCCCCCAAAAGCCCAACACAAAATGGTCTGAAAGTTCTTGCTGCAGCTGATTTTGTTGACTGAACTTTGATTTTTGCCAGGTTCCAGGTCACAATTGAATTTTGTGGAACATCTTTGTGCGCTGACCGTGAATAAAGGAGCAGCAACCACAGGATCGGCTCCCATGCTGGGTTGTGGTTTGGTTGATTAATTGCTATGATTGCTATTTGTATTTCTGACAAGGATATGTGTGACATTACACTGAAAAAGTATGACAAAAGTAGAAAAAAAATTAACAAAGTACTCTTATTTGGACTTATCTACATGTATGTATAATAAGCTGATTATAAGGGGTGTATATATATATATATCATTCAAATACTCCATGCCTTGTCTATTTCCGCGAATCTACCTGCCTTTGCGCCTTTAACGACCATGTCTCCAGACAAAAATAACAATCAATGCATATCGATGTACCAAAAATTGGGTGAAACATATTTTCATATTAAAGGTCAATTGAGGGTCTGGGATTTACATGTAAGTTTGTTAAGAGACCTTAAAGATCAGCCAATGCATGGTAATTCTATAAAACAGGACCCAGCAACTCCAGGTATCCGAGTCCTCGCGACCACAGCACCACTTCATGCGTTGGAATTGCGAGGTGCCTTTGTCGCAGATCGCCGAGTCGTGTCGAAAATTGGGGAATTGGGGAGTTAACCAGCCAGAGTAGCAGCCGGTGACCCGATCAGTCCGGTCAAGGAGAAAAACTGCCAGGTTGTTTGCAAGATTCGCAAAATTCCGCCATTTGTCAATAGGTGATTTTATGGGAAAACTGTGTGGGAAAATGTGGGGAAAAACCATATGGGAAAACAATGGGTTTTCCCTTTTTGCCTATCTTACTTAGTGCCACTGGGAAGGTGCCCCCATTAGAAATCACTTGGGTCTGCCATGAAATCCAGCAGGAAAGGAGTGCCTAATGCTCTACTACAGTAATTTTCATAGATATGGACATATATGGACCATCCGCATTTTACCTAACTTATACATCATCTTCCTAGTACAACCAAGGTGTTTATATGTCTTCATTGGTTTTTGTATGTTTACCGGTTCAGCCAGTCCCCAAAAAACAACGCTGCGAGGCTGTGGACCCTCTTGGGCTCCGCGGCTGCGGCGCCACTTCAACGAGCTGCAGTTGCCAGAGCCGGCCGAAGAGGACGTGCCGAGATTGTTCGAACGCGGAGAGGATGGATTTTGGAGCCATTGGAATGGGGATTTTTCGATGAAAATTGTGATGTTGCCATCAAACATGGGGACTCTATCAGCAGGAACTAGTTTGCAAGTGCGATTCTATCAGGATGAAGATTCTTGTTTGGGTGATTACATTAATATGTGCACTAAGTACGCCGAGGTGGAGTATCCTTATGGCGAGGCCAGTGTTGTGTATGGTGCCAGAGGTGATTGTTATCGTGCGAAGGGCACGCAGTATGCGGGGATGACTGCTTCGATGCCTGAAGGGTTGGCCAAATGGATGAATGGTCCGAGGCTTGTGGTCGATTCGAGCATTTGTGGATTGAATGGAAGATGCTTAATTCCAGAACGCTCCACCTTACCCACTGCGAAAGAGATCCTGAGAAGTTTTCCACTTCGCAACAGCCAGGAATGCTTACAAGGTTTCTCCTTGGATGTCAAAGCTGCGCATAAGCGCATTGTGTTGCACAAGGAGGAGCAAGGTCTCGTTGGTTTTTCCCTTGACGGAAAACTTTACTTCTACCGGGTGACGCCTTTTGGTGCGGTCTTTTCTGCTTTCTGGTGGGCTCGCTTGGGTGGACTACTCTTGCGAATTTTTCATCACTTGATTTGGTGGAGCCATGCTGGTTTTCTTTATGTGGACGATTTTCTATTTTTCATGGAAGCCAACATGATGCCAGTTTCAGCGACCTTGGTTTGTATTTTCTGTCAGATTTTGGGAATTTCCTGAGGCAGCATGATGGCCTGTTTTTCAGTTGGAGGTTGCCAATTTTTCCTCAGTGGAGGGAACCGTTGTCGTAGCGTCGGCATTGTTTTGTCGAAATGCATGCGAGAAGTGGTTGAATATATATATATATATATTTAATCACCTACGAAATGGTTGCAGTACAATAATTTCATTGAGATTGACCCCCCAAAAGGATTGGCTGGCTGGCTGGCTGGCTGGCTATCGGTTTTATTTGCTTGTTTCCAAGTTTTTCTGGATGAAAATACGATTTGACTAATATGTTTCGGGGCTTGAAACCATCACGCAGCTACATTAGTACTCATTTGATTCAACTATGGAGATCGTGACACAGCAAAATTATCCTAATATGATGTGTATATATATATATATTGACACAATTTAAAACAATTATATACAATTATACACACGTAAATGCATGCATGCATGCATGCATACGTACATACATACATGCATGCATGCATACATACATAAATACATAACATACATACATGCATGCATGCATGCATACATACATACATAAATACATACATACATACATACATACATACATACATACATACATAACATACATAACATACATACATACATACATACATACATACATACATACATACATACAACATATACAGTATCAAGTATACATATGCATGTATATATAGGCTCGTCCCAGGTCCTGGAACTACATACGATGGGGTGGGGGGATGGGGTGGGATGTTAACGTTCATGTGAACTTGCAGAAGCAGTTGATGCTACGCACACGCGGGGTGGGGTGGGGGGGATGGGGTGGGATGTTAACGTTCATGTGAACCTGCAGGGGGGGAGTCAACGTTCATAGTTGAACTTGCAGAGGAGCAGTTGATGCTAAGCACACGCGGGTGGGGGGGGGTGGGATGGGGTGGGATGGGGTGGGATGGTAACGTTCATGTGAACGTGCAGGGGGAAGAAACGTTTCATGTGAACTTGCAGAAGAAGCAGTTGACGCTACGCACCCAGCGGGGTGGGGTTGGGGGTGGGATGGGGTGGGATGTTAACGTTCATGTGAACTTGCAGGGGGGGAAGTTAACGTTCATGTGAACATGCAGAAGCAGTTGACGCTACGCACACGCGGGGTGGGGTTGGGCGGTGGGGTAGGGTGGGATGTTAACGTTCATGTGAACTTGCAGGGGGGGAAGTTAACGTTCATGATGGATATATATTATATATATACCGGATTGGCGACAAGGACCCCTGGAAGACGCAGGGAGAGGTCCTCAAAGCTGTGCGAGACTTGCAGCCGCTGTGACAAGAAAAAAAAACAGAACTGGTCTCACATGTTTCTGGGAGAGGTCCTCAAACACCGTGTTCATGTTCATACTAATGCTGATGATGATGATGATGATGACCCTAATGAAACTTGTCAATTCCGCGACGAAATTTCGTCACGGAATTGATAAGTTTTACCAACCTAATTCGGGTTTGCGCGGACCTGGGACGAGGCTATATATACATATGTACATCTATATATATATATATATACATACACATACATACATATACATGTACATAATATATACATATGTACTGTGTACTTTTCATGTACTTTTCATATTGTAGCAGGATGATATCGATGTTCATTTGGACATTTTGGTGGATTCAACATCACCTTGTCTTTCATGGACCCTACTAGGCCGGGCTCAAGGTCTACATGTGTTACATGTTTTTTTTTTGGCCTAAGGTCAAGAAGATTTTGCAGAGCATCTCACGTCATGTCCTGAAGGCCAAGGGGCCGTGGCAACAGCTTGGGCTGATCAAAATAGTTTGGTTGATTGATATTGTTTCCATAAATGGAGGTACCCCAAAATAGTTGGTTTATATTGGAAGATCCTATAAACATGTTCAAACATGGATGATTAAGGGGTACCCCCCATTTTAGGAAACCTCCATATTGGGATATGATATCTAACCCATGGTTGATTGGTGAAAGCGTAGAGAGTTGTACTGCCACGGGTATTGGGGATTATGATACTAAACCCACTGTAGGGAAACCTATCATCCACTCAGTTTGCCGGAAAATGTTGGGAAAACACACCCAAAAGTTGATGACTAACATCATAAAAGTGGGAATCTGCCTAGGCAAAATGGTGAACTAGGTGAAGTGAACCAAAACCAATGGAGAGTTTCGTAGCGACCTCCAACCACACAGGATTCAATCGAGGATGGGTGATATTGGTGAAAACTTATTGCTGCATTGCCCGGCAGATCAGAATGAACATTCTTGTCCTTGCTGGTGGATCCAATTTCTTATCCTTGGGAAACCCGGCAATGGGTATGGCTCAAGGATATCATAGGATATCTACTCTTCCCCAAATTGCCAAATTGGATGGCTTCAGACCTTGAACAAGAATGGTCATTTGCGAGTCCACTCCTTGCAAATTGTAACTTTTGAACCATACCCCGGTTTCAATTTTACCAATGCCAACTGTTCACCCGTCGATGCAACGGTCGGGTTCCAGAAACTGGGAGGTCACGATCTTGCAACAGCTGAACTGCTCCGACCGCAAATCCCAAATCCTGAAAGCTTGACACTTCCCTTTGAGCTCACAGTTTTTTCACTTCCGATACTTTAGATCCGTGGATCAATTGCGAATCCATTCCTGAATTTGTGATGTCATAGCCCTACCTGGGATGGTCAAATTGACAAAGGCATTTTGTGGGAAGCCTTGAAGCAGCTAGATAAAACCTGGGAAAGTAGAATGCACAGCGGCTCTTTGAACAGAAGTTTGCTCATCCACTAGATATAGAAATTCATAGAAATCCCAAGTTGGTAAAGTCATTGGTTTGCTGGGTACCTATCCACCAAATCTAAAATGGACCCTGAGAATTCGCAATTGTAGGGTTGGATATGATTGTTTTGAAATCCATAACTCATGGCAGGGGTCGATTTGTTAGTTGTGCGGGATGGTAAGTCCCATTTGTCTGATTGGTTTCATCCCCACTGACCCCACTGGTTGGTTTCTGTTAGTTTTCCCCGCTCGGTCCCCCACATGTTGACTGAAAATTCAATAATTTTGCTGGGTTGATCATCGTTTATCCGAATCCCATTAAGACTTCACACAAATTCTAACATATCCCATAAAATTTGCTTTCTTTCCTCAGTATTTGGGATATCTTATAATTTTATATTATGATATATAATGATACATATATATATATAACATAACCCCATCCCACATGTTCCATGTTTGTTTTGATGTTTTCCATGGTTTGTGGGCCCAGATTTGGTGCCAGGTGGGCGGCGGCTGCGATGCCTTGGAAGCGGCCTTCAGCGGCGTGGCGGAGGCCCGCAGCGCAGCTGATAGAGTTCCATGGAATTTCAATGGGAATTTCAATGGGAACTAGTGAGGGCTCATGGGATTTTATGGTGGTTTAATTGGAATTTAATGGGAATTTTTGGTGGTTTAATGAGTTTAATGTTTTCATGCGAATCCAATGAGGTTTCATGCGATTCTAATGGGACTTCATGGTGACTTGACTTGACCAAACATGGTGTTATATACTATAGAGGGATTTTTGTGGTGATTGAATGAGATTTAATGGGACCTTGATGTGAATTCAATGGGATTTAATGGTATTTTACATGAATTTAATGGGATTTCATTGGATTTTATGGCGCTTTCATGAGGATTTGGTGATTTATCTAGGCATCAACAGCGGTCCCTGTATGTCTCATTCAGGTGGTTGGGTCAAAATTGAGGCACTTTAAACTGGATCGTTACCCTCGCAACTCCATGGCTGAATAAATCCGCTTCATTTATTTTGTACTTGGTTTTCCCATTGCTCTATTTAGTTCGGGCTTCTCCCAGCCACGGACCAAAATCTGGAGTCCAGGAGCCGGTCTCGGGCTTGAAGTTGAAGGTAGAGGAGCCGCTAAGGGTGAGATGTATCAACCCCTTGTTTCCAAAGGCTGTGGTGAAAAAGATACTCCCAGATGGTAGAGTTTGGTAAACTGGTGATGGTTTATTGTTGGGTCTAGCACGTTTGTAGATGTTAGTAGGTACTGTCAACCTTGTTGATGGAAAGAACCAGTGTAGCAGAAACTGATCGCACATATTCGTCCCATAAAAAGAGGGAATTTAACTGAGAACCAGCCATGAGAAACAGCCAGTGATGCTGAAATCAGCTGCTAAAATGATCGCTTCTGGGACGATTCTTTGGCCATTGTGATGGTGTCTGGATGTTGGTAAAGATTCCTGGTGGTCTTGGTGATGTGTTTTATTTCTATGGCCATGAATCAATACCTACTGTAATATAAATTATGAATACCATTTTTAGGGATTTTAATATTCATTTACCGGCTATTTTGATGCTCACCAGGGGTACAAGGTTTTGACCCATCCCCAGAAAAATCTTTGTTAAAAGCGGGTGGCTCGCCTGTAGTGACCATCATGGAATGGATTCCTGTGTTTATGATGTACAAGGTAGATACTTACAAAAGAACCGTTGGGACCATTGGTGATGGTTATCTATATAGTCGTATATGTTTTAATATATGTACGATCTTAATTATGCAATATCAATGCACATTTGTTTCTTTCGTGCGTGTGTGAGTTTGTACAGCCATTCTGGCTGAATAAAACTTGCAGGGCAAAACCCACTTATTGTCAGCGGCGACATTAAGTGTTGCAGACAGGCCGTTACATTTGGGTTATGTCTCCAGATAACCCTATAGATAACCCTAGTGTTTTTTTTTTTTAAGCCCCGTTGATTTATTCCTCTCTCTCTCTCTCTCTCTTTCTCTACAAATAGATTTGCTATTTTTCAGTCCTTTCAATAATTTGACATAGCTATTGAAAACCGCCATGGTTTAAATGATGTACTTATTCAAAGTGGTGATTTTCCCTAGCTATGTTTGGGGGTACCAGCTGCATTTTACCTGTTTGGTTGTTTCCTCCACTATCCTCCAACTGATTGACCAATATTTGAAATTTGCCAACCAGCCATGATCCATCACAATAATGTAATGTAGTGTCTATGTATGTATATATATATATATTATGATTTAATTACATACATACATATATACTATATATATATATACAGTATTAAGTATACACATGACTTTATCAGCCAAATGCATGATTTACTATAATATACTTAACTGCATACTCCCATTCCTGTGTATACATGATTTATCCATGTATATTATTACATCAATGATCATGCCCATCATACCTATATTCTCATAATATAAGAACATTGATAGTCCATCAATATAATAGTGCATTAGTAATGGTACATAGTGTATACCTATATAATATGTTACATGAGATATATACTATATAATAATATACTGGCTATTCCCATGTCTTGTATACACAATACAGCTACATATATGATGTTACATTAATTATCATTCTCATTCACACCTATATTCCTACAACATAAGAACATTGTTAGTCCATCTATATTTAATAGTACATTAGTCATGATACATAATACAAACATGATAGGCATATATATTTATTTATATATATATTACACGAATGACTATAATATACTATACTGACTATTCCCAGTCCTTCGTATACATCATTCATCTATATAGATGATATTAAATATTACATTAATGATCATTCCCACTCATACATAAGGCCTCTCCGAACTATATATATATATATGATGTTACAACAATTACATATAGGACCCATTCATGATCATTCCAACGGTCCAAGGGCCGGGTCCTACTCCAGACCACCTGTCGACGCCACCAGGACGCTTTGGCCTCAGCCACCTTGCAGCTTTTCAAGCTGGTCAAGGATGGCGGGGGGGAGGCGCATGGTTTATCAGTCATGTCATCTATTTGAGCCATTAAACGTACCATAGTTGATAGGTTTTTATGTGTACTATACTATCTGGTTTAATGGGGATTACAATAAACCATAATAGGGATAACTATTAACCAACCAGTATAATGGGATGGGATAAGTGTATTTTTCATGGCTCATCTATCTGTCAATCTATCTACATATTTGTTGTCCATTTGTTATCTATCTATTATCTATCTATGCGTTTGCCTATCGATCTGTCTATTTGTTTCTCTATTTGTCTATATCTATTCATCATTATTTATCAATGTATCTAACGTACCATGGTCAGAACATTGGTGATGTGTAAAAGTGGATGATCATACCCCATGCGCAAAACCCTCCTAACGGATAGGGGACGACCCCAATTTGCGCATGGCATTAAATTTAAGACATACCCCATTTTTGTCGGGGTTACGTTAGTGAGGTATCTCCATTACTAGTTGGATGACCATAGCGCATATACCAGTTTGGATGCGCGAAATTGTGAGATCTCTTGAGGATGTTCCATCCAAACGCAGAAAAAATGCATTTAACATCTGAAATCCAAAAGCGGTAGTTGATAAATTCCATCACTGGGATGTTTATGTGTTTTTTTCCAATCAAGATGTCCTTGGTGTATCCAACACTTGTCTATGGACAGTTCTACATGCTATTATATATATTATATATACATATGATCGATTAACCACAAGTATCAGTTGCAGATAGGTCTAGTATATAGCTATATTTTGTCCACCAATTATAGGCATAGTTTGATCTAACAGACATAACATACGTACATAGTTGGATGGATTGTATCCTGTAGCTTTACACGTACTTTTTTGATTGTGGAGCGCAGAACGTACGTAAATCGCTGAACAGCACCAAACCCTATCCAAACGTTGTTACTTGTTGGATAGAATGAACACACCTCCAAGATATGGATAGGGTCCATATGTTTTTTAGATTTTAATTCTCATAGTCAGCCACATGTTCCATGTATGGAATAATTACTTACCGACAATTTACCCCAAAATCACCCAGTTGTGTGGGTAGATATAGCAGTACCATGGAGCATGGAGGTCACCAGATTGAGACCCAATTATTTCCCACATGTTCAAGGGCAGTCAACTAGTCAACCATGGTTACCAGGAGCAAATGAAGGCAACTCCCAGCAGTTCGGGCTGCAACTTCAGCCTACGGCACTTAGCACAAATCATGGAAGGCGCCCAGGGTTTGGGTCTGACGGGGGCTACCAGATACCCCAAAGACGGCCTTTCCAGAAGAAATCCGGTTCTGAATCATTGAATGTCGGGGTGCCAACATGAGACAAACCCATATATATATATATACATATGTATAATATATATATATATACATATGTATAATATATATATATATATACATATGTCTATATTATATAATACATATATATATATAACTATATATATAAGTATATAGACATATATATATATATACGTATATATATATATATATATTATAGAGTCCCTATGTCTAGATGGAGAAATAAAGCGACCTTTTGACTAGGATTGGGGAAAATGTGTTAAAACATATCTTCGATCTGATTTGTGAGTGATTGTCGTTTGCACATATGCATGGTATATCATTGCATATATGCCGCAATGGCTCAGTCTTGATGTGCCCATATGTCCCCAAAAGGACGATCCAACTGAAACTAGAAAGTGCTTAGGATCTGAGATAGTTTGTGTACCTTGATATGTATATATATATGTATATTATATGTATTAAAACTATGTATGTATATATATATACATACTAATGTTTTTTCAATATTTGGAATTTGCTTCTGAAACATTTTATGAGGTAAACAATCCACAATGTTCGTTTCATGAAGGTGGATATGCCCCGATTCCCCGATGGTCATAAGGGATGTAATGGCGACGATCCGGAGGGCCATGACGCTTGACATGTTTGGCCTCCATTTCTTTCATTTCCATGGATGGATGAATTTGATGGACATTAGTGACTCATTAGTGCCCCTATTTGTCTGGATGAGTTTGCCCTAATTTGACATGGTTCCCTTTTTTTTCTCGATGATTTCGCCCCAGTTAGACATGTTTAAAAGATGTGTCAATGCCCTTTTTTTCGTGCCCCAGGCGTGGCCAGAGTGTCTCGGTACCAAAGCTTAGGCCAGGAAGGAGATTGACCGTTCGGCGATCTTGAACCAAAAGATACCATAAAAATACCATACACATACCACAAAATGTGACTTCCTTTTTCCCAAAAGCATCTTCGATGCTTGGGTTCTCGTTTAGTTGTTTAACCGCGTGGGGGAGCGACCTGGCTCGAACGGTGGTGTGCGGACAGCGTGGGTGCAAGGGAAAGGAAAGGAAAGGAAAGGAAGGGAAAGGAAAGGAAAGGAAAGGAAGGGAAAGGAAGGGAAAGGAAGGGAAAGGAAGGGAAAGGAAGGGAAAGGAAGGGACAGGAAGGGAAAGGAAGGGAAAGGAAGGGAAACGAAGGAAAAAGGAAGGGAAAGGAAGGAAAAAGGAAGGAAAAAGGAAGGGAAAGGAAGGGAAAGGAAGGGAAAGGAAGGGAAAGAAAGGGAAAGGAAGGGAAAGGAAGGGAAAGGAAGGGAAAGGATGGGAAAGGAAGGGAAATGAAGGGAAAGGATGGGAAAGGAAGGGACAGGAAGGGAAAGGAAGGGACAGGAAGGGAAAGGAAGGGAAAGGATGGGAAAGGAAGGAAAAGGGAAGGGAAAGGAAGGGAAAGGATGGGAAAGGAAGGGAAAGGAAGGGAAAGGATGGGAAAGGAACGGAAAAGGATGGGAAAGGAAGGGAAAGGAATGGAGCGGACGGCTGCGGACGGCCTGGGTGCAAGGGAGTGGCTGGGAATGGGTGGGGAGAAGAAGCCGCTGGTGATGAGCGAGCTTGGCTGCGCGGACGGCTGCGGACGGGGAATGGGTGCGGAGAACTGCGCGGACGGCTGCGGACGGCGTGGGTGCAAGGGGGTGGCTGGAAATGGGTGGGGAGAAGAAGCCGCTGGTGATGAGCGACCTTGGCTGCGCGGACGCCTGCGGACGGCAAATGGGTGCGGAGAACTGCGCGGATGGCTGCGCGAACGTCAGAGTGGTGAACGGGAAAGTAGTGGCTGAAATGGGTGAGGGAGAGAGAGAAGCCGCTGGTTGAGAGAGACCTTGGCTGCGCGACGGGCTGCGTGACGGGCAAACTGCGCGCCGGACTTCGGACGCGTAGGTGCCAGGGTGTGGCTGGAAATGGGTGAGAGAGAAGAAATCCGCTGGTGATGAGCGACCTTGGCTCCGCTGGAACGGCTGCGGACGGTGGAATGGGTTGCGGAGAACTGCGTGGACGGCTGCGGACGGCGTGGGTGCAAGAGGGGTTGGCGGGAAATGTGTGGGTAGAAGAAGCCGCTTGGTGGAATGAGCGACCTTGGCCCCTGGCGCGGACGGCTGCGGGACAACAAATGGTGCGGAGAACTAGCGCGGACGGCTGCGGACGACATGCGTTTTGTGCAAGTGGGTGGCTGGAAATGGGTGGGGAGAAGAAGCCGCTGGTGATGAGCGACCTTGGTTGCGCGGACGGCTGCGGACGGCAAATGGGTGCGGAGAACTGCGCGGACGGCTGCGGACGGCGTGGGTGCAAGGGGGTGGCTGGAAATGGGTGGGGAGAAGAAGCCGCTGGTGATGAGCGAACTTGGCTGCGCGGACGGCTGCGGACGGCAAATGGGTGCGGAGACCTGCGCGGATGGCTGCGGACGGCGTGGGTGCAACGGAGTGCCTGGAAATGGGTGGGGAGAAGAAGCCGCTGGTGATGAGCGACCTTGGCTGCGCGGACGGCTGCGGACGGCAAATGGGTGCGGAGAACTGCGCGGATGGCTGCGGACGGCGTGGGTGCAACGGAGTGGCTGGAAGTGGGTGGGGAGAAGGGAAAGGAAGGGACAGGAAGGGAAAGGAAGGGAAAGGATGGGAAAGGCAGGAAAAGGGAAGAAGCCGCTGGTGATGAGCGACCTTGGCTGCGCGGACGGCTGCGGACTGCAAATGGGTGCGGAGAACTGCGCGGACGGCTGCGGACGGCGTGGGTAACAAGGGGGTGGCTGAAATGGGTGGGGAGAAGAAGCCGCTGGTGATGAGCGACCTTGGCTGCGCAGACGGCTGCGGACGGCAAATGGGTGCGGAGAACTGCGCGGATGGTTGCGGACGGCGTGGGTGCAACGGAATGGCTGGAAATGGGTGGGGAGAAGGGAAAGGAAGGGAAAGGATGGGAACGGAAGGGAAAGGAAGGGACAGGAAGGGAAAGGAAGGGAAAGGATGGGAAAGGCAGGAAAAGGGAAGAAGCCGCTGGTGATGAGCGACCTTGGCTGCGCGGACGGCTGCGGACTGCAAATGGGTGCGGAGAACTGCGCGGACGGCTGCGGACGGCGTGGGTGCAAGGGGGTGGCTGGAAATGGGTGGGGAGAAGAAGCCGCTGGTGATGAGCGACCTTGGCTGCGCGGACGGCTGCGGACGGGGAATGGGTGCGGAGAACTGCGTGGACGGCTGCGGACGGCGTGGGTGCAACGGAGTGGCTGCAGAAATGGGTGGGGAGAAGAAGCCGCTGGTGATGAGCGACCTTGGCTGCGCGGACGGCTGCGGACGGCAAATGGGTGCGGCGAACTGCGCGGACGGCGCTGCGGACGGCGTGAGTGCAAGGGGGCGGCTGGAAATGGATGGGGAGAAGAAGCCGCTGGTGATGAGCGACCTTGGCTGCGCGGACGGCTGCGGACGGCAAATGGGTGCGGAGAACTGCGCGGACGGCTGCGGACGGCGTGGGTGCAACGGAGTGGCTGGAAATGGGGGGGGAGGAGAAGCCGCTGGTGATGAGCGACCTTGGCTGCGCGGACGGCTGCGGACGGCAAATGGGTGCGGAGAACTGCGCGGACGGCTGCGGACGGCGTGGGTGCAAGGGGGTGGCTGGAAATGGGTGGGGAGAAG